AATGACATAATGCAAAGAAAACATGTAGAATTGAATTTAGAGGGAGCATGCGGGATTAATAAACTTTTATTGCAGTATATATTTTGTAAATTTTAATCAAAACTAATATGTTGGGTTTTATTTTCTAAAAAAGATTTATAATCTCTTCATTAAAAAGGTATATATGTATTGATATTTAATTGGAATTACAGTGTTTGTCATATATAATCGTTAGATATAACTTAAAGACAAAGCCACTCACGTGTGCAATTTAGAAGATGAAGCCGCTCACATGTGCAAATTTAGTTATTGCACTGTTTAAATTTTGTTTTTCATTCAGATCCAGTTGATTTAATGATTTATATACTTTTTAAATTGGTATATCTTATTTACAAACTGATAAATTTTTCAAACTAGCTATATCATACGTAAATCTCATACAAAAAACTAGCTTATATATATTATAAAAATCATTGTTTACGTGACTGGTTTTACATAACAAAATCGCGAAGCTACATTATTTTAAAATATAATATTATTATAATAATACAACCAGCATTAAGATATTACCATTACGATATTAAATCATTATAAGAACATGCCACATAATATTTATGGCAATCAGATACTATTGCTTATAAAATTAGTTCTACCATATTGTAAAATGCCGTGATCCGTAATTCATTAACTATGATTGTATTCGTCAATTTCCTGTCGTGGCGCTGGTTTTGGACCATCAAACTCGGTACCACCGCAAAACCTGCGAATGCCTACTGGTTTTATCAACTGGTCCAAAGTGTGATCTAAAATGACCACCACTCCGAAGTGATTTGAAAACTTTAGCTGTTTTTGCCAGCTGGTTACTGCTGATATTTGATTTTTATAACGTATCGATGACAATGGTACACCAACTGCAGATACCATCAAACTCGGTACCACCGCAACACCTACGAACGCCTGCTGGTTTTTATAAACTGGCCCAAGGTGTGATCTAAAACGACCACCACCACGAAGTGCTTTAAAAAACTTTAGCTGTTTTTGCCAGCTGGTTACTGCTGATTCATCATCACGAATAGTAAGTGGTCTACTTATTCGCTTATACGATAACAACTTTTCAATAGTAATTAATTGGATGATTACACCAACAGGTAGTGATAAATTACCCAATCCAATGCAAGTTAACCATTGAATAAAACTCAATGGTACTGTTTGAAATGCATACCCTACAAATTGGATTATTAGAAATTGTCCTACACTAGTTATAATGAATATTCTAATGAAAATCCAGTTCGCTAAGATATTTCTAAATACGTTTAACCTTTGATCAAGGTTTCGGCAACTATTACAAAATGAGTAGATGTTAAATAAAATTTAAAGAATTGTTGATGCCATTTTTGAAAAAAAATACTTAATTTCATTAAAAATTTGTACAATACAAATATATTAAAAACAATTGTATCTAACTTAACTGTGTCAACTCCATAACCTACCATATCATCATATAATAAAGCTAATGTAATTACAAGTTGAAAGATACTTTGACCAATAATCATCTTTCACATATGAAGAGTTATTAGAGGTGCATCTCGGTTCTCAGGTCTACGCCTCAATAATTCTGGGGTTGGTGAACCTGTAGCAAGAGCGAGAACAGCGAATGTTAAGATTCACCCATATCAATTGTACTGCTGTAAGAACTGGTTTCTGTTTATCACTCGACACTGCAGATATGAATGTAAGCGGCAACATCAGCTGTGAGTTGGAACTGCAAAATTTTTTAACTGCATCATTTACACAACGACCCCACATTATCGTTTTTACTATACTAGAAAAATTATCATCCATTAATATGATAGATGATGCCTCTTTGGCAACCTTTGTACCAGAAATACCCATACATCAGCAGTCCTTAATGCAGGACCATCATTAGAACCATCACCAGTTACAGCGACAATATCATCGAATTCGTCCTTTAATATTCCAGCCAATATTTTTTTGTCTTCAGGACTAGATTTTGCAAGAACTTGAAGTCATGGAAGAATCATACTCATTCTTTCAGATGATAAGTTACGAAATTCAGGACCTTCTATTACAATACCTTCTGCTGTATAAATACCACATTGTTCTGCAATAGATTTTGCTATCCAAATATCATCACCAGTAACCTAACCATACGAACTTGAACTCCAGCATCTTTACAGTCAGCAACAGCTTGTTGAACGCCTTCTCTCAAAGTTTCTCGATACCAACAATACACAATAATGTAATATCCTCCATTAAATCTTTAAATTTTACCTCACCATCAGGATCTAAATCTATTTCATCAGGGGGCCATTGTTCTAAGTCACGATATGCAATTGCAAGAGTTCTTAAACGTAAGATTTTATAATTTGTTGAATAGTATATCTTTCATGATCTGTCAATTTCGTTGCGTTGCCTGACTTAGTATCAATTATACATTGTGATTTTTGAAGTAACATTTCACTAGCGCCCTTAACATAAAATCTAAAATAAGAATCTTCTTGAACTACAAGACAACAGGAGCGACCGTCCCATCAATTTGAAGATCGGTTACACAATTGATAAAAAATTTTTTTATACGTTTTACAATAC